GAGCACTCCTGTTTGGAAGTGGGAGCCAGGCTGCTGACAACCGGGCATCTTCCTTGGCAGGGAAGTTGTCTTCTGCAGTCTGCATTCCCATAGAGGTGCTTTGCTTCTGATTTGTATTTGGGAAGAAGTGAAGTGAGTGCAGAAGGGAATCATTGTGTTTCACTTGGTGCTTTGTAACATTGAAATTCCATTTGTACTGCAGTGCCTGATCTTTATTCCTTCTTGTTCCCCACATGTGCTGGTCCCAGATTACATCATAGGGACTGTCCATCAAGCCAAAGGCCTGGAGTTTGACACGGTGCTGCTTGCAGATGACTTTGTGCAAGTACCAGCTCTCAGTGGGAGATACCAGATTAGAACTGACCCCATTATTGGTAAGGGAACAGCTTGGTGTGGTCCCTATCCTGATGTGGAAGTGAGAAGCAAGCCTGTGCTTAGCAGTGCCATCAGGTGCCACTCTCAAGGGATTATTGATCTTGTAGTTTCCTTCACAGCAAGGTAGGAGTATTCCTGTACTGAAGCTTGTAGGCTTCTAGCAACAGAGAAAGACCAACTCCATGCTTGGGGAAGGCACTGCTTTCCTTAGGTGCATGCTTTGGAAGGGCTGGTCTCTTCCCAGCGAGCAGAGAGGTGGCTGCAGAGGGAATCTAGAGGTGGAAAAGCTCCTCCAGTGCCACGTCTGTGCCTGGGAGATGGGAGAACACACACCAATGAGCTCCTTCTCATGCAGAGTCCTCCCTTTGCCTGGAGGGAGGAACACGGAGCAAGGCAGGAGCTGTCAGTGGTGTTAGGAGCTGCACAGCAAACACAGCAGAGGTCCTGCAGGAGCACCCAGTGTCCTTGCAGAAACACCAGCTGAAGTGTTAGGCTGAAGGCAGAGCTGTTCGTTCTTGTGCTCTAAAGCTATTGCTGCTCTTTCCTCCAACCTAGACATGTACCCTGAGGATGAGTGGAACCTGCTCTATGTAGCCGTGACACGCGCAAAGAAGTATTTGCTCATGTCCAAGTCCCTGAAAAACGTTTTAACATTGGCTGGGGTAAGTGAAATTGCTCCTAGGTAAGCAGGTCAAAGGAGGGGATCCTGCCCCTCTGCTCTGCTCCCATGAGACCCCACTTGCAGCACTGTGTGCAGTTCTGGTGTCCCCAACATAAGAAGGACATGGAGCTGTTGGAGTAAGCCCAGAGGAGGCCACGAGGATGCTCAGGGGCTGCAGCACCTCCTGTATGGAGACAGGCTGAGAACATTGGGGCTGTTGAGCCTGGAGAGGAGAAGCTGCGTGGAGACCTCAGAGCAGCTTCCGGTGTCTGAAGGGGGCTACAAGGATGCTGGAGAGGGGCTCTTCATCAGGGACTGGAGTGATAGGACAAGGGGTGATGGGTTCAAACTGAAACAGGGGAAGTTCAGGTTGGATATAAGGAGGAAATTCTTTCCTGTTAGGGTGGTGAGGCACTGGAATGGGTTGCCCAGGGAGGTTGTGAATGCTCCATCCCTGGCAGTGTTCAAGGCCAGGTTGGACAGAGCCATGGGTGATATGGTTTAGAGCGAGGTGTCCCTGCCCATGGCAGGGGGGCTGGAACCTGATGATCATAAGGTCCTTTCCAACCCTGACTATTCTATGGTTCTATGATTCCTGTTCTCCTGTTTTAATAAAGTTCAGAATTCTTCAGCAAAGATTCAGCATCTTCCCAAAAGTGATATCAACTTGTGGGCATGTTTTCGTGTTTGGTAGCACAGTCATGTGGCTCTGCATAGGTGTTTGAGAGAGATGTTAGGGTTTGATGTTGGAGGGGACAGTGTGGTAGAGGAGCATAAAAGAGGATTGTCACCAGGTTCACCCTGATCCTCAGGTCCATGCTGACTGTGGACTCTGCCCTGCATGTGCTGGCATGGATCAGAGTAGCTGAGGTCATGGTTTTCCCTCAATACCTATGCTCTGTACCATGATTTCAGTAGCAAGATACGAGGCTGCAGTGGTTTTGTCTTCCACAGCCCTTGTGTTTGGGTGTTGCCTTCCACAGATCCTGACTTCTTATCCCAATGCAAGCCCATAGGTTCCCTTTTCTGTGTGCAGTGGTTGCCAGCTCTTACTTCACTTCCTTCCTCACTGCTGCTGCTGACGTCTGCTTGGGTCTTGTCCCCAGGGGTTTGGGGCAGGGTTTTGTTGCAAGTCACTTCCAAGGAGGTATAAAACAGGGATGAAAGAACCATTCCCAGTATCTCAGCTCCCTCAGTGATAAGTTCCCTCCTCTTCTTGTTCTTCAGGAGCGTTTCCTTCGCGTGGAGCTGATGAATAAGGCTGGGAAGGATGGAGCTGTGATCACTTGCTGTGTGCCACAGTGTACAGAAATGGTGCAGTCCAGCTATGGGCTGGTTGTGAAGAAGCTCCTTTTGGTTCACGTATGTCAAACCCTCCCTGGGCTTTTGAGATCATGGTTTTGAATTGGGAACCTTCACAATCACCTGGGGGCTGGCTCTGCTTGGGGGCTGTTTGGAGCCGTCACATCAGGGAGGGATAACCTGAGTGCTAAGCTCCAGTGGAAGGGAGCAGGGAGCATCCCATAGCTACATCTCATGTCCACAGCTCCCCAGTTTCTTACTTCTGCTCCCACCCAGCTAATAACTAGGGGTGACTTCCCCACTGTATGTTTCAGGGGGGTGCTGCAGTTCCCACTGAGCCACTGAAACCTTCACCTCTCTTCTGAGACCGATTGTGGTCTCAGTGGAGCTGGTTTTGAGGTTTTGGCATGTCGGATCCCATATCTGGCCATTGGAGCCTCTGCTGAGGCCACAGAACAGCCATTTGGGGTCAACACTGAAACTCATCTCACTGACAGTCTGGCTTTTGGGTCCCATTTTGGCTTTGATCCCACTGTTCTGCATGTAGGCTAGATCCTAGAAGGTGAAGGCCAAGCTCTCTGCTCAGCTCACAGTAAATCAGTGGAGCTCCATGTCCAGAACAGGAGACAGTAAATGCCTCTGAGCCATACACAGGGGACATGAGCACTGAGGACATTGGGGCTGTTCAGACAGGCCAAGGGGAATGGCTTGAACCTGCCTGAGGGGAGACTGAGCTGAGCTCTTAGGCAGAAGCTCTTCCCTGTGAGGGTGCTGAGGCGCTGGCACAGGGTGCCCAGAGAAGCTGTGGCTGCCCCATCCCTGGCAGTGTTCAAGGCCAGGTTGGACACAGGGGCTTGGAGCAAGCTGCTCCAGTGGAAGGGGTCCCTGCCCATGGCAGGGGTTGGAACTGGAGGAGCTTTAAGGTCCCTTCCAACCCAAACCATTCCATGACTCTATGACAAAGCCTCATCCTTCACCAGCAAGCACCTGCACAGGGATATTTTGGTTGCACCTATTAACCAAACCATCCCATAAGGCACTTCCCTGGTGGCAGAAGATGCTTTGGGTTCATTTTTGTTCTCCTCTCTGGACATGAAGGGCTTGCATCGCAGGTTGGGTTCCTCCAGCCTTCGTCTCCTCTGAGGTCTCCTCTCTTTCTCCCACAGAGCAGCCACATCAAGGATGCAGCCGGTTACCTCTGTCGCTCTTGCACACAGGAGCTCTTTGGCCCTCTGACACCCCTCATCTTCTCCCCAGCGCTTTAGGAGCAGCCCATCCAGCTCTAACAAAGCCCTCCAGCTCCCCAAAGCCACCCTGGATGCAATCCAAGGCCTGTTGTCATCCCAGCTTTGGGATCGGATGGGTATTGGAGCAGGATTTCAGACCACCTCCAAGCAGAACCCTCTGGGCTCCCTGCAGGCAGATGGGAGCCCTTTTCTCCAGCCCCATTTTGTTCTCCAAAGCTGGTCAGTGTGGGCTGCTCTGCACCTCTGCACAGAAGAACATGTACTTTGTGTCAGACAGGGCAAGGTTTGGTTTCTTTTGAGCATCACCCCTCCATTACCTCTGTCCCAAGCAATACCCCTCCAGTGATCAAGCTGCCAGGATACTGCTGTCTACTCCATCCTGTCGGTTCCTCATTGAAATCCCTTGATCCACTGGAAGAAGAGGAAATACTAGAAAATACCCAAACAAACACCTTCTTCTGAGAATGTTGCACTGTTGGCTCTGGGAAAAGGTCTGTAAAGCTCTCCCAGCTGAATGAGGCAGCCAAGGGATTCCCCCGGCTGTTCCCCTTCTCCCTGGGGAAGAAACCATAAGGAAAGAAGAGAGTCAGCATCTGAGCAACTGCTTTGATTTGGTTTCAGTCTCACTCAGTTTTAAACTTGAAATAAAGGTTGTAACAAAGTAAAAAAGCCTTAATGCTCTCTTTGTTCTCTTGCCTGCAGGCCTATTGACCAGACACCACAGTAGCAGTGGTGCAAGAGGTGCAGATGATGGCTTATGCCAGGGTCTGTGTCGTTCCAAAACTGAAAGTGATTTGGGAAGAGATCAGCTGTTGGACATAGGCCCAGAGCCAAGAGCCATGCCTGCTGGGTGAAGCCAAGGCATCCTGTTGATTTCCCTGGTTATTTACTGAATGATTGCTTCATTTGCTTCATTCACTTGCTTCACTGGCTCTGATTTTGCTCTCAAAGTGTGGACTCCACTTGCCCTGTTCTAAATACAGGTAGAATTTCACCTAAGACTTGGAATTGGACCAGGCACCTCCAGGGGTCCCTTCCAGCCTCACCTGGCTTCCACCAATCCACTGGAAGAGTCTGTGCCATTGCCAGAGGGTTTGGTCTGTCACATCCCAAGTGCTGCTTCCTCCTGCTTCAATGATCCAGGTCAGTGGCACAACCAGAAGCCAAGACAAAGCAGCAAGGAAAGGGCATAGAAGTTGGGTGTCAGGTATCAGTTAATATCCAGCTGACCTCTAAAACCCCTTTTCCTATCCAGCTGAGAACAGGCAGCTCCATCTTCCCATCACCCTTGGCCTTGGAGAGTAGTGGTGGGCCCTGGCTGATGCTAAGATGGATTTCACCACAGCCCTGCTCCATCCTTCCTACCTTCAGGGCTGCCAGGATGTCTAAACAGACAAGATCAACTGCTCTGTGTATGATTTTATATACATTATATACAGATATATACATAAACCAGCATTTGTCTACAGCTGCCTCTTCTGTAGCAAAGAGGAAATGAGGGGATAACAACCAGAGTAGAAAAAGGGCAACCATACAAAGGGGAATACTTCCTTAGGTCCTCTTATTGCCTTCAGTCTGATGGTGTCTGCAGTGAAATCACTCCCTGCCAGCAGCACCCAGGGTCTGCAGGATCCCTGAGCTGTGTCTGAGGCACCTTCACCAGCTTTTGGGGTCACCAGTGAATGGCTGAAAGAGAACAGGAAGGGGGTGAGGCATTTGGAACCCAGAACCACCCCCCCTCCATGTGCTGGGCTGCACCCCCAGAGCATGAGCAGCAGCTCAGGGAGCGGAGACCCCACTTGGGGCACTGGGTGAAGTTCTGGTGTCCTACATAGGAAGGGCATGGAGCGGTTGGAGCGAGTGCAGAGGAGGCCATGGAGATGCTGCGAGGGCTGGAGCAGCTCTGCTCTGGAGCCAGGCTGAGAGAGCTGGGCTGGGGCAGCCTGGAGAAGAGAAGGCTCCTGAAGGGGAGACCTTAGAGCAGCTCCAGTGCCTAAAGGGGCTGCAGGAAAGCTGGAGAGGGGCTTGGGACAAGGGCCTGTAGGGACAGGCCAAGGGGAATGGCTTGAACCTGCCCGAGGGGAGACTGAGATGAGCTCTTAGGCAGAAGCTCTTCCCTGTGAGGGTGCTGAGGCGCTGGCACAGGGTGCCCAGAGAAGCTGTGGCTGCCCCATCCCTGGCAGTGTTCAAGGCCAGGTTGGACACAGGGGCTTGGAGCAAGCTGCTCCAGTGGAAGGGGTCCCTGCCTGTGGCAGGGGTTGGAACTGGAGGAGCTTTATGCTCCCTTCCAACCCTAATGATTCTGTGATATGGTAGGAGAATGCTTGGCCAGGTTCTTCTGTGAAGCAGCACTTCTTGATAGGTTTTGGGGCAATTTGGGAGCAAAGCAGCTCTAGGGATGGGGCTGCTCTCCAACTGCCCTATCACTGGCCTTGCTCCTGGCCAGGGAATGGATGTTTCTTGGGGTAGGGGAGCCCAGGTTCACCCCTAGCACCCGAACCCCATCCTCTGCACCCCATACACCTTCCCTGGGGCAGGTAGCCCCCAACCTGTACTCCCAACCTCCACATTCCCACCTCCATGCCCCCCCAGTGTGCTCACGGAGCTCACCAACCCACTCTATGGGACACGCACACACCTTTGGGTGCTGCAGGAGTCTCATCCATGACAGTGCCTTGTTCAGGCTGGGAAGAGCAGCCATGTGTCCCTGGGGTGAGGATGCTCCATGTACGGGGGACTAGGACGTGCTCTGCCACGCACTGCTGCTGCTTCCAGCTTTCCATCCCAGCCTTGAGCATCCTCTGGGCTGGTGGGTGCTTCGAGTTGCCTTGGTGCTGGGTGCTCAGCCCATGGGGTAAACACTGGCTGGGAGCATCTCCTCGGTCTCAGAAGCAGCAGCCACCATGGGGATGGATGTCACTGCCACCGCAGAGCTCTGCCCTGTGCGCCTGCAGAGGGGAGAGGAGCATCACTGGTACCTCAAGGCCTTTCCCTGCCATTCAGAGGCTGAGGGCAACACATAATTGGGATGGAAAGACCTCACGGGGCTCACACACTTACATTCTCTTCCTCCAGCAGCAGCAGGCCACGATGCCAGCAACCAGCAGCACCGAGAGTCCTATGGGGGAGACCCAATGGCTGATGAGCGTCGTCCAACTCGGACACAGCAGCTCCTCAAACAATCAAAACCACTTTGTGCACGTTCACAAGGTGCCCTTGTGAGGAAATTTGGGTGCTGCATCCTTCCTCATCGAAAGCATTGCCCTTGACCATGGCAGAAACCCCCCCCTAGCCCAAAGGAGGGCTTTTAAGCTAAGCAATAAAGTAAATACATCCCTGTTGCCCAAAATACACTTTTTTCCTCAGCTTACCGATGGAAGAGGCCAGAGTCTGGGTGGAAACTGGAAAAGAAGCGAGAAATGGAGATATTTAGTTGCAATGCAGGTTGGATATAAGGAAAAAGGAAGTTCTTCCCTGTGAAGGTGATGAGGCCCTGGCACAGGTTGCGTAGGGAAGTGGTAAATGCTCCATCCCTGGCAGTGTTCAAGGCCAGGGGGGACAGAGCCTTGGGTGCCATGGTTTAGTGTGAGGTGTCCCTGTCCCATGGCAGAGGGTTAGAACTGGATGAGGTTAAGGTCCTTTCCAACCCAAACCAGTCTGGGATTCTGTGTAAAGCTAGGAATGCAGGAGGGACTCTCACTGAAAAGGGGTTTGGAGAGAAGGGATGTAATGCACTGAAGTAGGAGAGCCTTTGCTGGTTGGCCCTATCCCCTTTGATGCATTATGTTCCCTAAGGAGGTGGCCCAACCTGCAGCGTGCTCTGGGGGGGTGTCAGGCGATGTGGTTGTCCCCAGCGATGACCCTGGAGCTGTTTCCTCTCCCAGTGTGGATGGCTGCAGTGGTGGAGGTGTCTCTGGTGATGTCCCATCAGGTGCTGGGGGTGCGGGTGTTGCTGCTGGAGAGGGGCTGGAGGTCAGGCTGGTTTCAGTGGTTCCTGCTGGGAAAATAGTGTAAAGCCTTTTAATGTCAGGAGTTAAAAGGCACCCTGCAAACAGCACCTTTATTTCAGTGCTCAGCCTTTTGCCTGCTGCAGGGAGGTTGTGGTGAGGGAACAGCCCATCCAGCAGCTACAAACTGGTGTGATTTCACACAATGGAAGTGATTCTATCACACCACCAAACTGTTTGCTTCCTACACCATGGTGGTTGTAGGTTTGCCATGGCCACGGCCATGATGACCCCAAACCGGAGCCCATGGGTTGTGTTTGCAGTTTCATCCCCTTGTGCTGGGCACTGCTGAGGCTGCACCTTGGATCCTGTGTTCAGCTCTGGGCACCTCACTACAAGAGAGACATTGAGGGGCTGGAGAGGGGCCAGAGAAGGGCACGGAGCTGGTGCAGGGCCTGGAGCACAAGGGTGATGGGGAAGGGCTGAGGGACCTGGGGGGTTCAGTGTGGAGAAGAGAAGGCTCAGGGGGGACCTGATGGCTGCCTCCAACTGCCTGACAGGAGGATGGAGCCAGGAGGGGCTGGGCTCTGCTCCCAAGGAACAAGGGATGGGACAAGAGGAACCGGCCTCAAGCTGCACCAGGGCAGGTTTAGATGGAGCTGAGGAACAATTCCTGCCCCAGAGGGTGCTCAGGCATTGGAACAGGCTGCCCAGGGCAGGGCTGCAGGCACCGTCCCTGCAAGTGTTCACACAGCGTGGAGACGAGGCCTCAGTGCCATGGGTCAGTGGTGGCCTTGGCACTGCTGGGAATGGTTGGGCTGGATGAGCTTAAAGGGCTTTTCCAACCCAGATGAGTCTATGATTCCTCACCCTTCGGGGTCATCCTCTCAGTGTGCGGTGCCATTGGGACCTCAGGGCTGGGGGTTTCCGGAGGTAGAGCCGGGTCCCCTTTGGGAAGACACAACATAGAGACACCATCAACAGCAGCTCCCACACCACCCCTCATCCTCCTCCACCACCTCCCCACTCTCCCCATCACATCCCAGCTGCCAAGGAAAGCCTTACGGATGCACTGGAGCGTGGTGTGGGTCCAGTCAGGCTCGCTGGAGTCATCCCGCAGGATGCACTGGATGAGGCTGGAGGTCCCGGCTTTGCGCTTGTAGCCGGCGTTGCAGGTGTAGCGCAGGCGGGTGTTGAGCAGGGTGTTGTTGCCCACGTCGATGTGAGCGTTGGCCACGTCCTTGGGGCGGCTGCATCGCATTGGCACTGGAGGGGAGGGAAGGAACAAAGAGATGGGGGTCACAACAGGGAGACTGGGCACCCTCTGGCCCTGGCTCACTGGGATGTATAGCAACCAAAGGGGTCAAATCCTGCCCGAGGAGGGCGGGGGTATGGGAAGCTGATGCTGCCCTGGGGTTGGAAAAGCCTCATCCAGCTTGCAGAAAGGCAGTGTGAGATGGCTGTGCCTGTGCAAAGGGGATGGAGAAGGGGAAAGCTCCATTTCCAGCACGTTTGCAGTCACTTTTTAGTTGTAAGTACGTAAAAGAAAGACCCCAGATGAGGTACTCTCAAACATCTGAAGCTCTGCTGTTTCCCTTGGATTTCTTCTGTATTTGCTGCATTCCGTTCTGAGTGGTCCTGCTGTTTCACATGAACCTTGTGTAAAAAGGGCATTAGTTGAGTGATGGAGAGCTCTGGAGAACCGTGGATCATGGCAATGCGCCCACAGAATGGAAAGAATGGAAAACAAGGGTGTATGAAGTCTAATTCAGGACCTGGGTCATGTTTGGCCCTGACAAATTGGAAGGTGTTGGAGTTAGCACAGGGTGCCCAGAGAAGCTGTGGCTGCCCCATCCCTGGCAGTGCTCAAGGCCAGGTTGGACACAGGGGCTTGGAGCAAGCTGCTCCAGTGGAAGGGGTCCCTGCCCATGGCAGGGGTTGGAGCTGGATGAGCTTAAGGTCCCTTCCAACACAAACCAGTCTGGGATCTATGATCCACTTGTAGCAGCAACTCTGGTCACTGAAGGCTTCTCTCAGACATCCAGGCTCCATCCCACCAGCAGCTGCTCTGTCCTGGCTGCATTTACCACCCCCATTTCCTGTTTATTTTGCAGCTGGATGTGATAACTTCCAGGTGTTCTGCCAGTTCTCCAGCCACTTCCCAGCAGTTTTCCCACTGCAGCTTGCAGCCTATGGCCCTGGAGGCGGCTGAAAGGCGATTATCACCTTGTGGCCGGGTAGTGGGGCTGTGATGGGCAGTGAGTTCTGGCTTTTCCTCCCCCTACAAAGGTTTGTGCTTCCCTTTTGGCCTTGATTTGAGGTCGGTTTCGCAAGAGGATGTTACAAGTTCACTTCTTTTTCTGGCACGATGGAGAAAGTTTCTTGGTTATCCAGAGATTACCACATGTGGACAGCTGCTGCCAGCTCCCGTCCCCCAGTGTAAGCCACTGCGTGATGGTCATGGTCCAGAGCTGGGATGGAGTGATGCATGACCGGGATAAAGCAATATGCAGCCAGGATGGAGTGGTCCAGAGCTGGGATGGAGTGATGCATGACCGGGATAAAGCAATATACAGCCAGGATGGAGTGGTCCAGAGTTAGGATGGAGTGATGCATGACTGGGATAAAGCAATATACAGCCAGGATGGAGTGGTCCAGAGCTAGGATGGAGTGATGCATGGCCGGGATAAAGCAATATACAGCCAGGATGGAATGCTCCAGAGCTAGGATGGAGCGATGCATGACTAGGATAAAGCAATATACAGCCAGGCTGGAGTGGTCCAGAGCTGGGATGGAGTGATGAATGGCTGGGATAAAGCAATATACAGCCAGGATGGAGTGGTCCAGAGCTGAGATGGGGTGATGCACAGCTGGGATAAAGCAACACACAGCCAGGCTGGAGTGGTCCAGAGCTAGGATGGAGTGATGCATGACTGGGATAAAGCAATATACAACCAGGATGGAATGCTCCAGAGCTGGGATGGAACAATGAATGGCTGGGATAAAGCAATATACAGCCAGGATGGAGTGCTCCAGAGCTAGGATGGAGTGATGCATGACTGGGATAAAGCAATATACAGCCAGGCTGGAGTGGTCCAGAGCTAGGATGGAGTGATGCATGGGTGGGATAAAGCAATATACAGCCAGGATGGAGTGGTCCAGAGCTGGGTTGGAACAATGAATGGCTGGGATAAAGCAATATACAGCCAGGCTGGAGTGGTCCAGAGCTGGGATGGAGTGACGCACAGCAGAGATGGTGTCCATTCAGTACGGAGGGATGCTTGGTTGGGCTGGGATAGGGAATGGGATGATAATGGGAGCACAGTGGGAAAGGGAGTGCAGTGGCAGTGGGGATGAGAGCACAACAGGGATTGGAATGCACCGGTAATGGGGACAGGAGTGTGATGGCAGACGGATGGGAGCACTATGTGAATGGGAACAGGACCACAACATGCTCCCCCAGGCACCCAAAACATCCAGAGATGAAAACCTCCTTAATCCTAAATATCTCCTGCCCCAATTTGTTATCTATCCCCAGGACATCCTGGGGGGAATCTAATCAGTGCTTGGGTGGGTCTGTGCAGGGTCCCCTGGCATGGGGACACCCCAAAGAGTTGCATGGGGGAGGGCACGGGTGAGGCTGTTTCAGAACCTCCTCACACATTGCCAGACCTGAAGCCATGCCATAACATGAAGGAAAAGCCCTTCCAGTGCCAAGGTAACTTACAGCCACGTCCACAAAGGGAGCACAGAGGGAATTCCAGCTAGAAGCAGCAACAGAATCCAGGAAAAACATGGACCTGTGAGTCCTGCTTATGCCTTTCAGCTTTTACACCTCATCTCCTCATCCCAATCCCACCAAAACACTTTCTTTCCAGTTGACTTGGCTGTAAAATGATCTTCTCTTCCCAAAAATGCCCAAAATGATGATCATCATCTTGTCATCTTTGATCATCATCTTGTCATGATGACAAGACCCCGTGTCTCTGCCTTCCAGGATTGCTGCATTGATTTCAGTTTGTTTCATGAGATGAAACATATGCCAAGGAGAAGAAAGGGAGGAAATCATTGGGAATTTCAGTTCCCAGTGCTGCTACAGCCTGATTTGATATGTGGCCAAGCCTATGTGGCCTTTCTTTCATACCTCAGCAGTGAATAGGAAAGGGTGTAAAATGTGAGTAGATGGGGAGAGCCGTGGTTGGCTTTGTGGGAATCCAAGGGGCTGCACAACCACAACTAGATAGCAGAGAATCCACACTAGGAAAGCTTGGGCATTTTTCTTGGAAAATTATCAGTAGAAGGTAGGAATCACATATAACCTAATTACCATGCACAAACCAGAGAGTAACTGCATAGAATCCAGACTGGTTTGTGTTGGAAGGGACCTTAAAGCTCCTCCAGCTCCAACCCCTGCCACGGGCAGGGACCCCTTCCCCTAGAGCAGCTTGCTCCAAGCCCCTGTGTCCAACCTGGCCTTGAACACTGCCAGGGATAGGGCAGCCACAGCTTCTCTGGGCACCCTGTGCCAGCGCCTCAGCACCCTCACAGGGAAGAGCTTCTGCCTAAGAGCTCAGCTCAGTCTCCCCTCGGGCAGGTTCAAGCCATTCCCCTTGGCCTGTCCCTACAGGCCCTTGTCCCAAGCCCCTCTCCAGCTTTCCTGCAGCCCCTTTAGGCACTGGAGCTGCTCTAAGGTCTCCCCTTCAGGAGCCTTCTCTTCTCCAGGCTGCCCCAGCCCAGCTCTCTCAGCCTGGCTCCAGAGCAGAGCTGCTCCAGCCCTCGCAGCATCTCCATGGCCTCCTCTGCACTCGCTCCAACAGCTCCACGTCCCTCTTGTGTTGGGGCTTTTAATTCAGTTGATGGATCCAACTGAACTAAGAGCAATGAACACTGTTCCCCAACCACATTTTCAGCCCTGAGGCAGTCCCAGTTGCATCACCACTGCCAGGAACATTGCCCGCAGGTCCGGGAGGGGGCCATTGGATGGTATTGCCTTCAGAGAAAGCTATTTTTAGCCCATTCCAGTGCATATCCCTCGCAGTAAATGCAGCTCTCCTGCCTTATTTTTGCTGCTGGAGTAATTTTACAGCCCTGCCTGCACCCGGCTGTTGAGAAATAGACTTACATTCTAGAGCACTGAAGCTTTGGCAGCAGACGGGAGCCTGGAGAAGCTAAAGCTGTCCTGAAGCTCTGTACTCCATTCCAGCCTTTTTTTCCTGTGCTCCCACACAAATCCTTTTTGATTCCCACGTTTTCAGTTCATTAAGTGCTTCCTAAATGGTCTTTCCACTGCTGCCAGTGGCTCCCTGGTGCTGTTGGCATACTGCACCATCTGCACTGATTTGTGACAGTGTTTCCCAAAGTTGCTGTGTCCAAAGATAGTGAAGGGTGTCCAATAGCTGGTGCAAGGCCTGGAGCCCAAGTGTGATGGGGAAGGGCTGAGGGACCTGGGGGGTTCAGTGTGGAGAAGAGAAGGCTCAGGGGGGACCTGATGGCTGCCTCCAACTGCCTGACAGGAGGATGGAGCCAGGAGGGGCTGGGCTCTGCTCCCAAGGAACAAGGGATGGGACAAGAGGAACCGGCCTCAAGCTGCACCAGGGCAGGTTTAGATGGAGCTGAGGAACAATTCCTGCCCCAGAGGGTGCTCAGGCATTGGAACAGGCTGCCCAGGGCAGGGCTGCAGGCACCGTCCCTGCAAGTGGTTTAAAAGATGAGTAGATATGGCTCTTGGGGACATGGTTTGTCCATGGTGCTGGGTTAGCAATCGGTCTCAACGATCTTAAAGGTCTTCTCCAACCTACATAACTCCATGACTCCGTAATTCTATGCCTGTGCTTTTGAAGAGGCATGACACACTGCAACATTCCTACCCCGTGGCGATGCTCAGCCATGAGCACCTCACAGAACCCATGGAAACCCCACAGAGCCCACCAGGGTGACATCCCACCGTGATGCACGTCCTGTGGGTGCATCACATGGATCCTAAACATCACCTGGACACCGGTGGGAAGTGGCAGGAGCATCCAGGAAGGTACAAGGGGAACACGGGGGTGCATTCTGGGCACCCTAGGGTGAGTGTAGGCACCTCACAGTGGGTTGGGGGGCAGCTAGAGAGAAGCATGGGCATGCAGGGACCGGGATGGGTACCCCAGGGAGCAGCGTTGCCACCCTGGGAAGCAGAGCAAGCACCCCATGGACATCGTGGCACCCCGGGGCGGGTATGAGCACCCGGGGAGACACTTACCGGTATCGGCGGCGGCCCAGGACAGCAGAAAAGCGAAGGTACCGCAGAGCAGCGGCAGCAGCGGCCGCTCCATGGGACGGTGCCGGCTGCACCGGCAGCACGGGAGCCGGGGCCGGGGGGCTCAAGGCTCCCGCCGGGGCTCGGCGGCGCTTCCCCGCTGCACGCCGCCGCCGCCGTCGGACGTACCCGGCGTTGCCAGATCCGCCTTCTCCTTTCGCTTTCGCTTTTGCCCCGATGCGACGGGGAGGGACGCGTCACCCTGCCGGGATGGGGAGCTCGGGGAGGTGGGATGCAGTGCTCCGGGCGAGGCTCGGTACCCGAGGGGAAGGATGCAGCTCCCGGGTGGGGATGCAGTGATGGAACGAGGGGTGAGGGGGTGTTGGTACCCTGGGGAGGACACACAAAGCATTTGATGCTCTCCCACACTACATAGAGTCAATGAGTTTAGAAAAGATCTTTAAGATCACCAAGTCCAATATTCCCCCAGGACTGCCAAGTTCACCACTAAACCATGCCACTAAGCACCTCGTCATCCTTATCTCTGAAGGATGAAACTGAAGAGACACAGATTTGATGGATGGACCATTTGGGGGATAAGGAATTGGCTGGATGGTCCCACTCAAAGAGTTGTGGTCAACGGCTTGATGTCCAAATGGAGATCAGTGATGAGTGGTATTCCTCAGGGGTTGGTGCTGGGATCCATGCTGATCAACACCTTTGTCAGTGACATGGACAGTGGGATCCCTCAGCAAGTTTGCTGATGACACTGAGCTGTGGGGTGCAGTTGACACACTGGAGGGAAGGGGTGGGATCCAGAGAGACCAGGAGATGTTGAACAGGTGGGACTGTGTGAACCTGATGGAGTTCAACAAGGACAAGTGCAAACTGGGACAATCTGAAGCACAAACACAGGCTGGGAGAGACTGGATGGAGCAGCCCTAAGGAGAAGGACTCGGGGGTGTTGGTCAATGAGAAGCTCTCCATGACATGGGTTCAATGTGCGCTTGAGCCCAGAACCCCCCCATGTGCTGGGCTGCACCCCCAGAGCGTGAGCAGGTTTAAAGCCAGGTTTGATGGGGCTTGGAGCAAGCTGCTCTAGTGGAAGGTGTCCCTGCCCATGGCAGAGGGCTGGAACTGGATGAGCTGTAAGGTCTCTTCCAACCCAAACCAGTCTGGGATTCTATGATGTTGTATGGAGCTGGTTCTTCTAATTCAGCTCTCCCTTTTGCCCTGGTACAGGAGAGAGACTTTACACTGATGTGTTTCATAAGGATTTCAATGACTGCAGAAGACACATGGTGGATATGGCCAGACATTCACTGTTCAATCAAGATCAGACAGCACTGATCGTAACAAATTGTCCCCTTCTTGAGCCGAATTGTAACCACACGTTGTTTTCCACTGAATGGGAATGTGGAGCAGTGAAATACTCCACAGCCATTCATTACAGAAGGAACAAGGTCAATTTTAAACTATCCAGAATGTCTGTTGAGTGATTGAAAGTCACAGCTCGAAGGAAGGCAGTAACACCTGGTGCACCAGGATGAACTTCAGGCTGATTACTGTATGGGTTTGAGCGCATCAGTTCACGACAATGATTTAACTTAAATCATATCCTCTGTGTCAATGTCCAACAAACCAATCCATTAGCTCTGCTACACAGTGGGCTCAACTAGAGCACAGAGTTAGGAGTGGGAAGAGGACGTGGGTTTTGGGGTGCTCCACACTAAAACTGTATTAAAACATGACATTTAGGGGTTGGAAGTAGATGTGGGGGTTGGAACTAGATAATCTGATGGTCCTTTCCAAACCAAAGCATTCTATGATAACAAGAAACCATAGCCACAGACTGTGGGTTCAGTTGTGGATGGTTCTAAAGCCAAAGTCTGTAACACTTCAGTGGTGCTGCCAGGACAGACCATTCTTGCCTCATTTTTGCTGTTTTCCTTCACCTTTGCTCCATCACCTTGGCTTGGAGCTCAGCTGCATGCGTCCAGCCATGTGCAGATACCATGGACTAAACACATTCAACATAAAGAAAACACAACAAAACTGGTCCCATTACTTAAGGGGTTATGGTCACAACACAGACTAATGCCTCCGCCTCCTGCAGCACCTAGTGCTATCATGTTCTACCATTTCTCAACTGCAAAATGGAGATAAGAGTCTAAACAGACCTGGGCATCACTGCTGGAGCAGTGCTGAGCCTGCAGTTTCACTCATGTCTTCTGGGTCTTCTTGCTTCTTAGAGAGAGTGACAAAATATAAAGATGCTGGGGAGGGACTCTTCATTAGGAACTGCAGTGATAGGACAAGGGGTAATGGGTTAAAACTGAAACAGGGGAAGTTTAGATTGGATATAAGGAGGAAATTCTTTCCTGTTAGGGTAGTGAGGCACTGGAATGGGTTGTCCAGGGAGGCTGTGAATTCTCCATCCCTGGCAGTGTTCAAGGCCAGGTTGGATGAGGCCTTGGGTGAGATGGTTTAGAGCAAGGTGTCCCTGCCCATGGCAGGGGGGTTGGAACTTGATGATCTTAAGGTCCTTTCCAACCCTAACTATTCTATGATTCTATGAAAAGCATGTGATGTGGTCAAGGGAAGGGGACAGCATGCTGTGGCTAGCTGGGGCTTGCAAACACATTTTAGGGGTCTAGAGAAGACCAGCCCTGTGAGCAAATGCTGTGTCAGGAGAGCACTGGGGGCTGCAGTGAAACATGGGCAGGGTCTGCTAAAAGCTGTCTTCAGTCTCTCACATCTAAGCGAAGGAGTCATCTGGTATAACTACAGCCACCTCATTCAGGCCTTCGTGTTAAAACAGATCATAGAAGAGGCTTAGGGGTGTGGGAAGAGGCACCCTGTGGCTGTGTCCCCATCTTCAAATGGGGTACTTTGTGCAGTGTCTCCTTCTCTCACCATCTACTCAATCCAGAGGAAATCTGGAAGAGCAGCTCAGCTGAGATGCCTGAGTTTTGGATAGATGAAGTTAGGTGAGACGAATTCCAGCTTCAGTGGTGTGGAATTACACAGTGACCTTAGTTTTGTCTTTAAAACTGATCTTTGGTCTCTGTGCCAGCAAACAGAAACTCCAGAATCCAGAAAGAAGACCAGAAAACAGCAAAGAACAACTAAAAATGTGTTACTTACATTATGTCTGCTGGCTTCACATTATCATTTCAGATAATGAAACACTTGCATGCATTGGGATGGTGCATTCACTTCCCTACTTTCCCCCTTTTCAGCCTCATTTGCTTCCCTCTTTTAATGGTTACTCCATTTACTTCCAGTTTCTCACAGAAATACCTCCTCATTCCTGCTACAAAACCCTCCTTATAGTACCTTGTCCCAGGAGCTTCTCTCTTGTGTTGAGGTTGATGTTTTCAATCTGCCTTTCCTAGTTTGGTAGAGGACTGGAAGAGTCAGATACGCTTTCCCTCACTGAAGACACATTGGAAGGAGAGGACAGAGCCAAGGGAAAGCTTTCCTGTGGAAATAAGTGGGAAACATTCTGTGTTGAGGTGCAGTTGAAACCTTTGCTTTCCTACATCATCCCCGCCACAGGATGAATGTGAATCTTGAGCTACAACTTTGATGTGAGACCAAGAAAGGACCTGGAGCAAGTTGCAAAGCTATTATTTGCCTCTTCTAAATGCAAGGAGAAGGACAAGTTATTTGAATGCTCTTCAAGATCCTCAAGTGGTTTTGGCTGATAAGAAAGAACAATCTTACACTGATGTTTTAGCCCATTTATTTCTGCAGCTTCTCATTCCCCTGTGCTGTCCATTCTGCTAAGCCACCATGCCTGTTACCCCTGGGTTTACAATGATGCTCAGGTGAGCTGTGATGGGAGTCTCCCCCATCACACTCCAGGCACTTGGGCCCAAGAATAAACCTCCTCTGGAAGCAGCAGAGTAAATGTTGGATTAAGGCACTCAGTAGCTGGAGAAGGGCACTACAGAGGCCCTACTTCACCCTAAATCAACTGCTGGGGTTGCCAGAAACACCAGGAAGTCTGCTTTAGCTCCAGGTCATCGAGGAACAGGACATGCTGGGCCCAAGGCCCTGCAATACCCACCTGCCTTATGCTCCTTGACCCATAAAAAGGGAAGCTCACTTTGTTATTAGCAGGTTTACTGCAGTTAAGTACTCAAAAGCAAATAAGACAAAGCTGTTCCTGGGACCTCAGGCTGCTTTCCTGAGTTATCATTTCACACATTAGATTTTCCAAAGACAGCAATTCTGAGGCTGAAGGATATGTCTCAAAGCCCTTAGCTAAGAAGCAAAGAGAAAGGCAATAAATATCCACAACTCTACTACCTACCTCTTTCTACCTCTACCTACTCCTACTTTCCTATCTCTAAAAGAGGTAGGAAATGACCATTCCTTGAGAAGGGGAGAGAAGGATGGATCAAATAAATCCAGCACCCAGCTATCACCTTCTGCACAGCTTTTATTAAGTCAGAAGCAAAACAAACTGATGTTTAGTTCCCTGGGTAGATGGAGGAGGAGGAGTAGAGGGTGTGGAGAAGGTGAGACACAGAATTGGTACCCACCACTACAGTCCACAGGTAATAATGCATAATAAGATAAAGTCCAGAAATCCAACACAAGTGGCTCATCACACATGGTCTCCTGGCTTCGTCTGCCTCTGTTTCTTCTTCTGTTGATGCAAGTCACTTTGTCTTGGCAGTGAGCATCAGAAAATAGCTTCACAATAACGACAAAAGGGAAGGAAAGGAGCTATTTGCAGGATAACATTTCATAGCCAATCAGCAATTATTCATTAGAAATGGGTAAATTCTCCCTCTGCCCATCCAGGAGACAGCATAAACCCCTGTTAACCTTTCCTGAAGACATCACCTCTGGTGGCTGAACTGGCTGGCAAACCTATTCACCCTTCTGAGAAAGAAGACTGTAAACCTTGAGACAAGGTGTATATATCTGAAGATCATGACTAGAAGCATTCAGAGCCAGGCAGATGATAGTGCTGCACCAGTTATACACCAGTGAAGTGATAACCCAGATTCCCAGGGCTCAGGGTTTAAATTGCTGGTGATAAAGCAATGTTCTTTAATCTCTGGATTCTGGCCAGGTTGGGATTTCACATGGTGAGCATAGAGAAAAGCAATCATCGGGTTAGAGTT